ACTGTGTGTGTGTGTGTGTGAGTGTCTGTGTGCATGTGTGTGTGTGTGTGTGTGTGTGCGTGCGTGTCTGTGTGTGCGTGTGTGTGTGTGTGTGTGATTTGTTTTGTCAGTGAATCATTCCAGTTGGTTCACACACATCAGTCTGGATGATTAATTTGTGAAACTATCAGAATCAAAGTAATTCTTATCCAGTACACACTGGGAAAATAATGCAAAGTCATCTATCAAAGCATGTGAGAAGCCTGTGTTGGTCAGATATAGTCAGATGTGATTGTGACACAGATGAAGTGAATGTGGTTTGATGCACTCTGACCCTGACATATGGACATCCAGACACCTCACGGGTAAAGAAAACCCCAACAAGATCACAAAAAGCAGCGAGCGAGCGAGTGCTGCTGATGCCAAAAGACTGTTACTCACTAATTAACACTTTGAAACAGTATAGTTTCATCTCTATTCATAACGAGGGGCTAAACTAGGATGGGGTAGTCGTGGCCTAATGGTTAGAGAGTCGGACTCGTAACCCAAAGGTTGTGGGTTCGAGTCTCGTACCGGCAGGGATTGTAGGTGGGGGGAGTGAATGTACAGTGCTCTCTTCATCCTTCAATACCACGACTGAGGTGCCCTTAAGGCACCGATCCCCCAACTGCTCCCCGGGCGCCGCAGCATAAATGGCTGCCCACTGCTCCGGGTGTGTGTTCACGGTGTGTGTGTGTTCACTGCTGTGTGTGTGCACTTTGGATGGGATAAATGCAGAGCACTAATTCCAAGTATGGGTCACCATACTTGGCCACATATCACGTCACTTTCACTTTCAAACCTTCTGCTGTGACATGTGTTTGTGTTGATCTGCACTCCACTGATCTGTATTCACATTACCTGCTTAAACTGAACATACATGTGCATTATGATCATCTTTATAAGCAAGTGTCCATCAAGAGCACCGAACACTCCCCCGTCTGTCATTGGTCAGTCAACAGTTAGTCCCGCCCCAAACTCACGTGATTGGTTGAGTCAGAAGTTGACATGTCGGGAAAAGAGTCACAGTGTTTCACTACAAATGACTGATGTATAGAGACTGTGAAGATTACAGTGACACTCCAGAAATCCCACATCACCTGACTCAAAGTATGAGCTACTCATGCTGCTTTTCTTAAAAAACAATACAAAGATTATTCAGGTTTGAATGTTGCTGTAACACCTTGCAGATCATTCTAGACACTCTAAAACATTTATGAAAATGCTGTGACTGAAAGGATGAGATTTTAACCACCAACATACTATTTGATAAAATCATTCATTCTAAATTCTGATTGGACGAGCCGGTTGAGGTCGTTATAATGCTGATGACACACTGATGCTGCGTTGCTTGGCAACCGCAAACTGCTACAGTTACACATATGAATTATATTGCTTGGAATTATGAAAACTATTAATAATAAATGTTACTTATTAAAGCATTGGTGTTCATTTTAAACAAGAGACCATGTAAAGACATTTTTCAAAGTTGTAAATAAAACAGTTTATTGTAGTACATTTTACAAGAAAATACAATTTCAGTCTTTCTGCTTTAGAGTTTCATGTTTAATCCACTACTTGCTAATTCTTTGCACATGTTTGTGACAATTTACTAGTAATTCTGTGTGAGAATGGTATCTATACCATTTTTTTTTCAGCATACTATAATAGTTTCATTAAAGCAACTGTTGATGAAAAATTAGGATCCTGTCATTATTTCTTCAGCCTCATTCGGTCAGAATCTTCACTCTGCTCTTTTGCTTTTTGAGGACAAAATGAACGCGGTGAGATTCTACACACACACACACACACACACACACACACACAAACACACACACACAAACAACATCTTCACAGTTAAGCATTAGTGATGACATGATGTTGAGTAAATAGATTCAGGTGAACTTTCCTATAAAATAACATGAACTGATGGTGCTCTTCTACATTCTGCTGATTTCTATCCTCACACATGACATGAATGAGATCTGTTGCATGAGTTGTGTGGTTTTGTTTGGTTGTGTAAGTGTGTGTAGAAGGTGAGCGATCAGTGTGTGTGTGTGTGTGTGTGAAGTCACAGAGCTCATGGTGTGGACAGAAGCACAGATTGCAGTGTTGACAGTGAATCTGGGCTTTTCTCTGAGAATCGTGGCACCTTCTCTCTCTCTTGATTTTGGCATAACTTTCTGCAATCTGTGACCCGATCAGGCATTACACACACACACACACACACAC